TGTCTTTGTAATCATATTCCATCATAACTATCAATTAGGATAAAGATAGGAATATCAGCAGGATGAGATGTGATTAGGACTAAAAGTTACTTGGTTAGAGAAATATCCAAGGTCAAGTTGTTGATGTAAGGTGATACAAGGGGAAGTGCATGTACCGCTTAACAAGCAAACTGTTATGGAAGTAATACAAGGAAGCAGCGAAGGATATGTGGTGATTTGTTGATAGCACTGTAAAGGAGGTGACGGTATGAGACAGGTATGTGTGTAGGAGGATGTGTGATGTAGCTGAGCTCTCCGCAGTGCTGGTGCTGTCAGCTGGCACCTGCTGTCTGGTGGTGGAACTGTACTCAGACAGATAGGAAGAGACGGATGGGAGTGCTGCCTGTAGCATCTCCTGACATCTCCTGACATCTCCTTACACCCACACGCATCCATAAGCAAAACCATCTTGCATAAAGACAATATTTGGAACACAGTTGGGATATTTTTAGGGCCACTGATCTAATTACCAGAAGAGGTCGTGGGAATATGTACTGCAGTTAATCAGCCAGGTAACAGAATTTTGACGCATTCAGATTTGTCAATAAGTTTGTTAAGTGTTTATGACCATAAGCTTCATAAGCATGTAGATTTTTATGGGGCTAAATGAGTGGTAGACATTTGAAGAACACGAATTAAACATGATGGTAAATAGTAATGTTGCTTGTTTCATATTTTGTTGCTTTTGGAAGTAGCCATGATTTCAACTTTAGAGTTTTTTAAAAATTTAATTTACTGATAATTATTAGCTGTTGGTTTGTTTAATTTTTTTGATAATTATCATTATATTATCATATCAAACAAATTTAGTAGCAATTCAGAATTCTTTGACTGGAAGTTTTATTATCAGTACAGTAACTCAAAAGTGTCAATATATTTGGACTGATAATATAAGTAATTATTCTGAGTGTATGTATATAAAACTTACCCATCTATACCTGCAATTAGTCAACTTAATGTTAAATGTGAACTGATGTATTAAATGTTTACAACTGAATTTTCGGTCTTCTCATTGTCCATCTTAACCATGGTAATCTTTAAAAATGCGAACATTTTGGCGAGAGTGAATTTTTAATTTAGTACCCTATTTTTGAATTTGTATCAATATTGTATCAAAATGAAGAATTTATTAATACATCAACATCATGCTATATGGTGACATCCAAAATAGCAGACTGGAATAGACGACTGAACCAGGAACTAGATCAGGTGAAATAGTTCAAACGTCTTGCCTTGATGTTGTAGAGGGAAACGCGTCACACCAATGAGTCTCTGAACATTTTGTCTTGTGTCAATGTATACTACTCACACAAAGTTAAACAACACCCTATTCTTTCATGTTAGTTGGACAGACTGATAGATTAGATGTAGTAAGATGAAAGAATCCGGTGTCCTTTATATTGTTTAAATTGTACATGATGTATAAACAGTGATAAAGTATGAAAGAGTAATTGTCTCATTCAGTGCACTGTTAGCATTGTCATAGCATTAGTTGTCAACAGAAATAGACCTGCTTTGGAATTAGGGTATGCTATTTTAAACATATTTATTAAGCAGGGCTCCAGATAGGTTTTCAACATCAGGAGTACGTACTCTTCATTTTCTCAATATAGGAGTACTGGAAAACCTAAGTGTACATTTAGAGTACTGAATGGAATTTAATGGAGTATCAGTAATCTTGTATTTCGTTTCATATATGCACCACAACATTGCTGCTCTTGTGTAAACAGGTCAATAAACAATAAAACAATACCTTTTCAGATATATACGTCTGTAAATGATTCTAAGACCGTGCACCATTGCTGTGGTGCATATCTGCTACGTTTTCTAAATTATTTCCTACCGTACCGTGCATATTTTCTATCCATACATACGCCGATACGGCCCTTATCTGGAGCCCTGTATTAAGTATATTGGTGGAAATGGTTTGACAGTTGAATCTTTGTCACTGTTTCGAAGTTAGAGTAAGTGTTATGTACCAACCAATCTACTCAACCTTAGTGTACGGCATAGCATCGGACACCTGATCCTGTTGAGCTCCATATGCTAACCTCATCAACATACCACATAGCTACACTGGGTCGTGGTGTTTACATTGATGGCCTGACTCTAGCATTGGGTACACACACACTCATATAGCTATACAAACTTCTTAAAGGTGTACCATCCGTTTAGGCTATACAACTTACACAGTTGCTGCAAATATGATGAGAAATGATGATCCTTATCCCTGAAGGATTGACACCCTTCTCATGGGTTATCTTGCTATGCATGAAATAATTATTGTATACAACTCAACAGAAGTTTTAAAAACTCCAGATTACTTTTGTTAATCAGCCAGGACATCTTTCAGTCTTGTACCAAACAATTTTGAGACTAATGTCAGTGTGTGAAATAAGGACGATCGCCTGAGATGGGCTAGATTTCTGATGGATGGTCTAGATTTACAGCTGGCCAGCCCGATGGTCTGGTAAAATACTAAACATTTTAGACAACATGTTCCATGCATGGTTAAATCCATTTTGGCCAGGAAACATTTTGAAGTTACCAGCCCTGATGTCTGTCTGGGATTTTGACTTATTTCATACACTGTTAATCATAACTTAATGCCTCGATTTTGGGCTCTGAGCATCATTTTCAGTAGACTTAGTAGTGATTAAGTGGACTATTTTTAGCTGAGCTACTAGCTCAAACAGTATTAAGCAAAACCTATGCTTTGAACAAAAGGTTAAAGTCACTAAAGATTCTATATTTATGATTTCAAATTTGTAACTTTTAAAATTTTTCACCAATTCCCAGCACAAATATTAATTCAAAATTATTATGAAAATTCAATGGATATGTGTAAGGTCCTGGATAGTTTCTACAGATAATGTCTCTACAAGTAGTGCAAAACATCATAGTTCAATGATTATGGCATATTTGTTCTATTGATATTATTAGTAGGTTACCAGGGTACTGTGACCTACTTTCAATGAGTAACATGTGTCATTTTGCTGTGTTAGTGATGTGAACCTAGGGATATCAAATTTTGTTAACTACTACTTTATGACTTATCAGAATTGATTGACTTATGTATTGCATATATAGAACTTTAGAAGACGACTTTCACTGTCAACATGGCCAAGGCTATGCCATCAAGACCCATACTGTCAAGAGTGTATTCATGTAATTTCGAAATAGGTGTCTGAGATTTGGAACATGTCTAAGCATTTGAGGTCCAGGTTGATGAAAAGCTTGTCTAGATTGTGGCTATTTTATGTTTGCTGGTATATATTTTGGATATATTTTCTAACTGCCAGTAGGACAGCTTGACCTGTGTCAGTGAATCACATGTAAATGCATATGTTACCCCTACATTGTATATCACACTGTAGATTGCAGCTACATCAAATATGTGTGATAATCGAGGCTATAACTCTAATCAGGCCATTCTATCATATTCTTTCCATATTATATGATTTTTGTTTCTTGATTTATGGGCCCGTGAAGATCCGGGGTAGAATAGGTCTTCAGCAACCCATGCTTGCCGTACAAGGCGACTATGCTTGTCGTAAGAGGCGACTAACAGGATCGGGTAGTCAGGCTCGCTGACTTGGTTGACACATGTCATCGGTTCCCAATTGCACAGATCGATGCTCATGCTGTTGATCACTGGATTGTCTGGTCCAGCCTCGATTATTTACAGACCGCCGCCATATAGCTGGAATATTGCTGAGTGTGGCGTAAAACTAAACTCACTCACTCACTCCCTTGATTTATGATTTGATTTATCAATTAAGTCACTCAAATATGTTAATCTGCTATCCAGGTGGCTAAGTCATTTTATGTGCTACAATTTGCTATACAGAATTGTGTCCCTAAGCAGTGTAGGAAAGATAGCCCGTCCCAACGTCCGAGACGGGTGAATTTTGTGGAGGACGGGTTAAAAAAATATCTATTCCGTCCTCATGTCGGGTCAATTTTAGCAAACCAATGACATATATATAATGATTATAACCTTTTTTGAATATTTACTGCCGAAGGTGTTTTATTTATATTTGGAGGACAGGCTAGATTTTGGCAGGACTGGTAAAAATTTTGACCTGCCAGTCCTGTGGGCAGGCTAGATTTTCTACATCTTTCCTACACTGCCCTAAGGCAAGCCAGTAACTTATGATTGTAGGTTTGAACCCCAGTTTGTCCTGATTGTCCTTCTATATTTGTTGGCACTATGTGTGTCGGTTGGGTCCTGCATTATGTCAGTCGTCCCCCAACAAAAGCACACAGGGACATAACCGAAATACTGCTTAAAGCAAGATTTATCTAAACTCACTCTCTCACACACAAACCGCCTCCGTGGTGTAGTGGTTAGAGCATCCGCCAGGAGAGTGGAAGGTCGCGGGTTCGATGCCCACCCGCGTCATACCAAAAGACGTTAAATTATGGTACTTGTTGGTCCCTGCCTGGCGCTCGGCATTAATGGGTACAACAAGGACTGGTCGGCTCGGGAGTCAGTATAATGTTTCTAAGTGGGGTAATCATGCTTCACTGCGGCATGGTATCTCAGTGGGCTAGCACTATGAAACCAGCTTAAGTCTGGGCTAGTACAAGCAGCTGCACATACACATACACACGCATGCACGTTGTCATATGAGCGAAATATTCTCCAGCATGACGATAAACCCAATTTCACCTCACCTCACCTCACCTCTCACACACAACTGGATGGGGTGGTGGGGTAGCCTGGTGGTTGAAGCGTTTGTTTGTCATGCTGAAGACATGAGTTCGATTCCCCACATGGTCTCTCCCGCCATGATATTGCTGGAATATAGCTAAAATGCTAAAAGTGGCGTAAAACTAACTCCCTCACACTATTTTAATGTTATTCATGTTATTACAATGATCTTTCCTTATCCAACACCAAACAAGCTGTTATGATCATTGTCCCGCCAGCACTAAATGTTACTGTTCCCTTACAGCAGCTCCAGTAGCTGTAAGGTAGGGAGGAGGTGGATGGTGGCAAGTAGCCCCTGTTGCCGGTGAGCTAGGCCAGAGCCCCGGGCAGGGGAACATGTCTGCAGCCACTGCATCACACTCCTCAGGCAAGAAACGCAAGGTCGTCAACGTTGTCCTTCTCAGTGGAGAGGAATATGTCGTCACTGTTGATGTAAGTAGATGGCACCTTCCATATCTTTGGACTGGTAATAGTTATTTTATAGGCATATTTGATGAAACCTTTTATAAACTTTCTTACAGTTACAAGTTGTATATGATAGTGCTGGAGCATATATCTTTGATATAATTGGTCACTTGACTTTGGTATGAATTCTGGTAACTGAACATAGCTAAAGAAATCCTTCACAAAGCTTTAAAATTATATCCGTTTCCAGTATGGCTCCGTATTCATTGCTTGGCTTCAGTATGGTTAATCCATTTCTCTTGTCTGCTTAGCTTAAACATGTTTGAAAAATAATAGACTGAACAATGACAGGAATAAAACTATTTATGAAACTGTTGAATATGATTTCTACTAGACATTAGCATGATTTAGATACATGTATTTTGTTATTGCTCTAATGTTGGAACTCATTTATTTAGGTCAAGTCAAAATTTCAAGAAGTCTTCAATCAAGTAGCATCCCACCTCAGCTTACGAGAAACAGAGTACTTTGGCCTGGCTTTCAAGAAAGGTAAAGTGAAAAGTTTTAAGTCCTGGACAAATTACCATAATATTCTTGATGACTTTGCCCTAGACCCAGTGTTCATGGTTCATGGGTTCTGAACCTGAACCTTGTCAGCTCCCAAACTTGGTATTATGCTTACATCCATTTTCCAAACATCAGTGCTTGTAGTGTAGTGTATTTTCATAAAGTAAAAAGCAAGCACAACTGTTTTATTCTTTTGTTTATTTTATGTTAAGGAGAAAGGTTCACTTGCAATCACTGGTGAAAACATTTATGTCTCTAAGCGCTAGCTCTTCACTTTGCACCATGTCCAGTAGATCTCCACAAAGACACAGACTGAACCTGGGATGTTAACTGTCTCCATCTTGTTACAGATGACGAGTACAACTTCGTGGTGCTGGAAGAGAAGATTCACAAACAAGCTGGCAAACGCTGGAAGACTGCTCCAGGGGAGGGTAACTCATCTCCATTAATTTCTGCACCACTCATGATTTTCCTTTTTGTGTTCTGATGAATATATAAGTCGTTTGATGATATTGACAAATGTCAATCTGTGGCATTGTTCAATACTAGCTATATACATATAGCTGAATATTTTTTGCAGTATTTTGTAGAAATGTTCATATTTTTCCTTATCTTGACTCATGAGATCAAAATATCATGAGTCAGGATAAGTATAAAATATCAATTTTACTTTAAAAAATACATGTTTGTCTTAAACTTTTGTCGTCCTTATTCTAGGGTTATGATTCCCTTGGCAAGCCCATGCTCACTGTCTGGTTCAGAGTGCAATTCTACGTGGATCAAGTTGTTCTATTACGGTTAGTGAATGTAATATTGTCAGTACCCTACCTGTCATTTGTGTGATGTAATCAGTTCATATATCTCAAGGCTATGTAATGTTCTGTTTGTCTTTTAGTTATATATAATGCCATGCTACTGAACATATTTCACCCCATGAGGATGCCAGGTAGAACTACCCAGCAAATGATGTAGACAAGTTAGAATTGGTCTTCCGTAACCCATATTTGTCGTAAGAGGCGACTAACGGGATTGTGTGGTCAGGCTCCCTGTCTATGTTGACACATGTCATTGTATTCAGAGATTGATGCTCATGATGTTGACCACTGGATTGTGTGGTCCAGACTGGATTATTTACAGACCGCCACCATATAGCTGGAATATTGTTGAGTGCATATTGCTGAGCACCTGTAACACATATTCCAGTTGTCTGTGACTTTAGCCACTTGTCCGGAACCTGTGTCTAGTAAAATTGTATACAAACTGGTAAAATCAGCTAAACATAGCCCATATGGTAACCCTAGCATGTATAAAAACAACTCTAAAAATTATACTAAGAGCTATGTTTCGGCTAGTAGACTCCAAAGAGATTGGTGCAGATTGCTCCAACTAATGTAATGTGTTTGTCCTGACAGAGAGAAGGTGACGCGGCACTTGTACTTCCTGCAGCTGAAGGAGAACTTCCTCAAGTACGTCCATCTCTTCAGTGAGGAGAAGTGTTTTGAGCTGGTTGGCTACGCACTGCAAGCTGATTATGGAAACTATATACCCGACAAACATCAAGATGGCTATTTTGACCCAAGGAAGTACTTCCCTGCTTGGGTAAGCACTTTGTTTCACTGTGCTAACATATATGTGTCGTGATAAGTGTTGATGTCACTACTGTCTTCTTTAAGGCAGTTGTATTGGTATGACCTTCCATATCCAGACATCGGGATCGGAGGGTCAGGCTCGCTGACTTGGTTGACACATGTCATCGGTTCCCAATTGCGCAGATTGATGCTCATGCTGTTGATCACTGGATTGTCTGGTCCAGACTCGATTAGTTACAGACCTCCCCAGCCATATAGCTGGAATATTGCTGAGTGCGGCGTAAAACTAAACTTACTCGCTCATTCATATCCAGACATAGACTTGCATCTGTGTTGTATATGAGTGGCAAATCGTGAATCAAGCTGTCAAAATCATATCTGACCGTACTCACTACTTAAATTCAGAATACAACCTCCTCCCTTCAGGCTGCCGCTACAAAGTTCCAATTGTCAAAACTAAGAGAGCCCAAACATCCTTTATTCCAAGTACCATATCTCTCTTAAGCAAATGTGAACATACCTAAATCAAAGAATTATGTAAATATGTTTGGTATCTCTCTAATGTGTCAGTAGCTCTGCTGATGTAACACAAATTCCTGAAAAGGCATTAAAAAAGTATGATTCTATTCTATTCTATTCTATTCTATTCTATTCTATTCTATTCTATTCTATTCTATTCTATTCTATTCTATTCTATTCTATTCTATTCTATTCTATTCTATTCTATTCTATTCTATGATGGGGTCCTGTGGGATGTGGTACGTCTGGCTGTGTCCTCTTTCCTAGCTGGTTGTAGAGATATCTTGAGATTTACTATGTATCATGGTTGGAATTAGTCCCCTATGGAGGTAGTAAGAGGCGAGAGATTCAGTGATTTAGTTGAGGCCTGGATGACATGGACAGTTGCTCACAAGATCACTCATCTGGAGGTTAAGTTATTTGCAGGCTCCTTTCATATAACTGGAACATGTCTAGAATTATGTCTACAATATTGACAGCGTAACTGTTGAGTTTTTAGTGCTGTAATTGTGTGTTAGGCTGTAATCAAAGGGCAATCCTATGATCTGTTTCTGTAAATTGACTAAGTATCTGGTTAATTCTAAGCTGTATGAGAATCATCTGTAGCATTTCAGTAGCCATTTTATTGTTAGGTTTGTTGGAATTGGGTCACTGTGACCTGTGCAAGACACTGAAGAATGTTATCACCATGTCGATAACCTTTGGAATCTCAGTCAAGGTCACAGTGTTGTGATGCTACAACCCTTCATTATGCAAGAAATTTGAAAGTGCTTTACACAGAAAGGTGACATTTAATCTATGTGCACTTTTGATGCAGTGTTGAGAGTTTGAAAAATCAATCTTCTGATTGTCCCCGGCTGCAACGAGTAACAGGGGAATATGTATTCAGCATCATCCGTACATGTCCTGTTTCGCGATATCTCATGAACTGTTGTACCCAGTGTCTTCAAATTTGGCGACACTGACAGCCTACATTGGGGAATTACACAGACACCAGTCAAATTTGGTGACCTTGACCTTATCTTCAAGGTCACCATGACACTTTGACCACTTTTCAAACTCTTGTAAAGCGATATCTCATGCATTGTTGTACGTAGTGTCTTCATATTTGGTAACAGCCTACGTTGGAGGATTATGCATACATCAGTTGAATTGGGTGACCTTGACCTTATCTTCAAGGTCACCATGACACTTTGACCACTTTTCAAACTCTTGTAAAGCGATATCTCATGCATTGTTGTACGTAGTGTCTTCATATTTGGTAACAGCCTACGTTGGAGGATTATGCATACATCAGTTGAATTGGGTGACCTTGACCTTATCTTCAAGGTCACCATGACACTTTGACCACTTGCCAAACTTATGTAAACGCAATATCTCATTAAACCTTGCACCCAACGTTTTCAATGATGTCAACAGCCTACATTGGGTGATTATTGTCCCCTGCCGCAACGCGGAACGGGGGTACTATGTAGTTTGCGGCGTCCGTAAGTACGTCATGATTCTTAACGCGATATTTCATGCACTGTTGTACCCAATGTCTTCAAATTTGGTGACAGCCTACATTGGGCGATCACGCAGACACGAGTTGATTTGGGTGACCCTGACCTTATCTTCAAGGTCACTACGACACTATGACCGCTTTTCAAACTCTTATTAACGCAAAATCTCATGGACTGTTGTACCCAATGTCTTCAAATTTGGTGACAGCCTACATTGGGTGATTACGCAGACACCAGTCGATTTGGGTGACCTTTACCTTTATCTTCAAGGTCAGCACAACATTTTGAACACTATTCAAACTTGCCTACGCAAAATCTCATGGACTGTTGTACCCAATGTCTTCAAATTTGGTGACAGCCTACATTTGGGGATTACCCAGACACCAGTCGATTTAGGTGACCTTGATCTTATTTTCAAAGTCACCACGACACTTTGACCACTTTTCAAACTCTTGTCAACGTGATATCTCATGAACTGTTGTACCCAATGTCTTCAAATTTGGTGACAGCCTACATTTGGGGATTGCGCAGACACCAGTCGATTTGGGTGACCCTGACCTTATCTTCAAGGTCACTACGTGACTTTGACCACTTTTCAAACTCTTGTTAACGCGGAATCTCATGGACTGTTGTACCCAATGTCTTCAAATTTAGGGGCAGCCTACATTGGGTGATTATGCAGACACCAGTCAATTTGGGTGACCTTGACCTTATCTTCAAGGTCACCACAACACTTTGACCACTTTTCAACTATGTAAACGTGACATCTCATCAAACATTGCACCCAATGTCTTCAATTATGTCGACAGCCTACATTGTGTGATTAGGCTGACACCAGTCATTTCAGGCATCTTGTATGTGACCAAAAAATAAAAAGTAGTAAATATGTTATAAATATTCCATTCTTTAGCGACGGGGGACATTGCCATATCAGTGGCAAACACTTGTTATTGATGACTCAAGTCATTTCAGGGTGACCTTCACCTTATTTTCAAGGTCACATGACACTTTCAAAATCTTGTAAACAGGATTCTGAGTAGTGACCATGACTAAAAGCAACATCACACAAAAGGTAATCTTCTATGTGAAATATGTTATATTTCATTCTTCTTAAGCGGTGGCGGCCATTGCCATGTTAGTGGCAAACACTTGTTATTTGTTGTCTTTATCAAGTTTGTAAATAAGAAACATTGTTTTTGTCAAGTTGAACCCAGCACACTCACACTTGTATTATATAGTCGTACTCAACTGTTTCCTGTTGTTTCAGATTGTTGAGAAGCTAGGTATAGCTTACCTTACAAAGCATGCACCATCAATACACAAGGACATTCGACACACGACCAAGAGTGATGCAGAGCTGCGCTTTATCCGAGAGACGTCCATAGCTCCGGCTGCCCATAATGTCCATTTTTATAAGGCAAAGAAGAAGAAGACAGACAAAGTGTGGAACACATGGCTTGCAGTCTGTGCCAAGGGGGTTGAGGTCTATGAGGTGTGTGAAGAAATGTTCATTGATCACATTTCTTGAAGACCGGTTGATAATTATGTTCAGTACAGTGTCAATTTATTGTAGAGTGGTGGTTAAAGTGTTTGTTATGCCGAAGACCTAGATTTGATTCCCCACGTTTGTACTAGTGTTGGGAATTGGTTGAAATCTCACAATTGATGATTGGTTCAATACCAACGACCAATCATAGAAAAAAATTGGTTAGCGTTATTTTTTAGATTTTCCTATTCAGGTTGTAGTTGCAAATAAGTATAAAGAAAAATACATTTGGCTCTCTGTTGTTGTTTTTTTGTTTTATTTAGAAACTGCACAAATTACATTTGCAAATTTCACATCCAGTGTAAAATGATTCAGTTCCATTGTAACATAAACTTCCCAGATTCTTCAAGAAATATTCAGTCATGGCTTTTCAGAAAGTGAAGTGAGTTTTCTAAGAATTAAACACGGACAACATCCTAAATATATTCCATTATCAAGTATTTCAAACTCTATTACAGCGGTTCCAAAATTGTTTGTGTTCAATTATGGGAACATGTGATGGATTGCTTGGTCGTTTGGCCACTGCAACCAATCTTCAATTATTTCAATTAATCGGAACACCACTAGTTTGTACATGTTTGTACACATGGGTGCCTGTTTCTGGTATGCCATGCTGTGATATTGCTGGAATATTGCTAGATGCAGCATTATCAGTCATAAATGTAGGGATACATGAATCTCTGATTGATTTTCAGTTTAGAGGAATTGTATTTCCATTGTTTTTGTTATGTTACAGGAACTGGAAGGGGGATTTAAGAATTGGATTTCTACATTTCTATGGCCTGATATAGGGAAATTGTACTTTGATGTAAGTACATATTGTTTATTGAATTTTATTTAACCTTTAGTTTGCTTTATTCTCAAACGTTATTCTCAACAGCTTGATTGTTTTCTATGTTTTATGAAGGTTACCATGGAAACACCCCAAACATTTCTCTGGTGTTCTCGCCGAAGACCTGGGTTCGAATCCCCACATGGGCACAATGTGTGAAGCCCATTTCTGGTGTCCCCTGCCGTGATGTTGCTGGAATATTGCTAAAAGCGACGTAAAACCAAACTCAGTCAGTCTCTGGTGTTGGTTACATTTGTGTCTTTGAGAGAAAAAAGCCAAATTTACATCTCTACAACAAAATGATAAATTTAATCAAACTTGACTCATGAAGTTTATTGGGCCTGGATTAAAAAGATCTACTTCAACGTGATAGTTTTGTGTGTTTGATTACAGAAAAAGAAGTTTGAGATTCGAACAACAGGGGGAAATGAGAACACAAGTCGTAAGTTCACCTACTACACAGAGGTTGATGGAAAGTCCAAATACTTGCTTAGCATCTGCCGGACCACACATATGTTCCAGTTGGCGATCCAGCCCAAACTCATGGAGATCAGACACCTTGATGCTGAGGGTACGTTTCAATCACTTCTCTTGACATGCAGAATATTGCTTTTGTAGCATGGTCGCCATCAGAGAAAGTGCAGTTGGTTTAAGATAAATAATAAGATAATTACAGTCTGTGACTTTGGCAACCTGTGTGAAGCCTGAGTCTAGTAAAATTCAGATTGGTCTAGTTTGCTTTGATAATGCAAAAATGTATTTTAAGAGGTACATAGAGCCATGTTCAGGCAGGCCAACTCTGAAAGGTTTTGTGAACTGCCATATTATTTGTACTTGCTTCGGGTTTTAGTACAATATGTCAGACCTTTGTATTTTCTTAACCAGATGGTTGTGTGAAGCTCATTTCTGGTGTCCCCCGCTGTGATATTGCTCGAATATTGCTAAAAGTGGCGTATATACTAAACTCACTCACTCTTAACCAGATACAAAAACGTAGGTTTTCATATAACACAAACTTTGTAATATGTTGACAGATCAGAGGCGTTACAGAGAGTCCTACATCTATTCTGATCCCCGTGACATGGTCACAAACGGGGGTATAGTCCAGTACCGTGCGACCACTGCGAGTATGTCTCCGAAAAAGTCTGGTGGAAATCAGCGATATTCCGTCATTAGTGATGCCAGTTCAGCCACCACGTCAGGCATCGTCAGTGACAAGATGACCATCAGTTTTGATGATAGTGATGGTAAGTCATACAACAAATTGATCAGTCGTTTTTATTGTCATTACGGGGCGGTGGGGTAGCCTTAATGGTTAAAGTGTCCACTCGTCACTCTGAAGATCCAGGTTTGATTCCCTACATGGGTACAATGTGTTAAGCCTATTTCTGGTGTCCCCCGCCGTGATATTGCTGGAATAAGCGGTGTAAAGCCTTTCTCACTCAATATTGTCATTATAGCAGGAGATAGGAGAGTCTGTGTGGGCATTTAGGCGTTTAATGTATCCTTGATAAGGAGGATAAATATTATCTATTAGCATAGATATTTAACAGTTACTTCATGCTCTTTCATTGTTATGTATAATAAAGAACTTGCTTTTCCTTGTACCCTTTGCCAAGACTTACCAAGTATATGATAATGTATTGTGAAACTGCATCTCTCAGTTCAGATCACTAGACAATAGTACAGTCTGGAGCTGCCTTCCTGATAACTGCTGGGAATATCTGTATACAGTTACTCATACCCTTGATCATTTGATCCAGATGTTTGATATATCACAAGAAATTGGGGAAAATTGGTATTGTTGTACATCATAGTATATGTATTCATCTGCTCTAGTGAGCAATGTCTGTCTAAATGCCTGATGTTTGTTACAGATCATGGTAAAGAGATAATGATTGACTGCCCACCTCGAATACATGGCACCCCCGGGCAGGGACGGTCAAAGTTTGGACAGCTGACTGCTGGTGGATTCCCCAGTGAGTTGTCATTTAATGCTTCTTTCAACCTATTATTCCTGTGAAGGATATGGTGCATGTTAGAAAACTGCTTTCCACAACTACATTATTTACAGTTAGGGTAATACACATGGAAGAAAGTAAGAGTATAACAGACATAGATAATTCCTTAGAGTAAAGGACCGCTTCCGTGGTGTAGTGGTTAGAGCATCCGCCCGGAGAGCGGAAGGTCGCGGGTTCGATCCCCGACCGCGTCATACCAAAAGACATTAAAATATGGTACTTGTTGGTCCCTGCCTGGTGCTCGGCATTAATGGGTACAACAAGGACTGGTCGGCTTGGAGTCAGTATAATGTGTCTGAGTGGGGTATTCATGCTTCACTGCGGCATGGTATCTCAGTGGGCTAGCACTATAAAACCAGCTTCAGTCTGGGCTAGTACAAGCAGCCGCACATACACATACACACGCATGCACGTCGTCATATGAGCGAAATATTCTCAAGCACGACGTTAAACCCAATTTCACCTCACCTTAGAGTAAAGAGCTATCTACATTAAGTTTCTAGTTCAAATTTGTGGAATTGTACATAGATTGAACACATTTTCCATATTTGTAGGTATTTAAAAGTACATTTAAGTTTCTTCTTTCACAGGCTACAAACAGTCAGGAATGACCTCTGTGAATCGCAGCCCAGTGTTGCCTCCACACTCTCTAGAACTGTACAAGCCTCCAGCCTCCAGGACCAGCAGTGGCCACAGCCCAACTGGAGGCAGCATGGCCGTACCAGAACTCTCTCCTGTCAGCAGCAATGGAAGTTACAGAGCCAAGCTGCAGCAGCAGCAGCAGGCGTTGTTCCCTACGCGTGTGCCCGGATACCCTCGTCATTTGTCCTCCTCCTCGGCAGAGGACAAGACTTCACAGCCTGTGAGTCGGAGCACGAGTCACGGAGATAGTTTCAAGGCAATGCAAACCCAGCTTCAGGTTCATACAGATAATGTGAGTCCATCTGAGGAAGGAAAGATGTGTGCCAGTGCAGAGCATAGTTGCCAGAACTCTCATGAACTCAAAATAAGTCCTTTAGAATCTTCAGCCTATGCAAACATACAAGCAAGTTTGAACAATTCCCAGTATGCACCTCCCCCTGCCCCTTCCCCAGGTCCCAGTGAACCCCCCGATATTGACTGACAAGACCCCTTCACCTAGCAGTAGTGCAGGCCTCACTACCCTCATGATGACCGAGTGTCCTGACCTGGAGCTGAGGGAGGCTCAGGAGGAGTATGTTCCTCCACAATCATTTGTGGAAGGTGGTGCTGTCAGTGAACTGCCAGTAGACTCTTTACAGAGCATGAAAGTGCTGGGAGACACAGTGTCCAGTTCTGTGGTGGCAGGGCCTGGATACAGCACCGTGACAACAGGGATGGCAGAAGCTGTGGTTGTCACTGCTGAAGCTGGTGGAGGAGACACAGCTACAGGCGGACAGGTGAGTGAATGGTTTCCTTCCTTCAGTAAACATATCAGTACCTTCATATTGAATTGTTCATACTGTTGTCAGGGTGGGCGAAACTTAGGTTACTTTGTGTATTTCTGCACTCAGTAATATTCTTGGGTGCTGGGATAGCCTAGTGGTTAAAGCATTCCCTGCGACACCGAAGACCCAGGTTCGATTCCCCACATGGGTACAATGTGTGAAGCCCATTTCTGTTGTCCCCCGCTGTGATATTGCTGGAATATTGCTAAAATCAGCGTAAAACCATACTCACCCACTCACTCACTCCCCAGTAATATTCCAGCTTTGTGCAGTCGGTCTGAAAGTAATGGAGCCTGGACTAGACAATCCGGTAATTGATCTTGTGCGAAGTGATCGAGATTGTTGGGATGCGAAGACTCAACACAATGACCCAGTCTGACTACATCGTCCAATTGCAGATCTTGTAGTCCTTGTACTTTGTTTTGGTTGATTTATGAAATCAACAGATGAATAATATAATCATGATAATGTATGAAATGTTTCCTCCCGACCTCCTACTTTGTATTCTTGGCGAAAAGATACAACTCATAAAATCTAATAGGCCTTTTGACCATCATAGGTTACTGGGACCTATTCCAACCTAGAAACCCACTGTTGAATGTATAGTAGTATCTGAGATACCCTAGACTGGAGTATCAACACCTTTCTGTTTAATGCCGGGGTTTGAGATAAGACCTTTGCTGGAACCATTAATAGTTACTTTTAAATCAATAATTTAGGGAATTGTTACTTGAGGTCATCTGTTCTTTTCTGAGGTATATTTTGTTTATGGATCACAGGGCTCGATTTAGTGCTTTGTTACTTGCACTGGTGCAACTCAATATCACAAAGTTCAACCTAGTTATTAGTTAAAAGTGCATCATGTGCAAGTCAATTTTTGAGAAATAAATCAATAATAAATCTAAGTATGTCAGTTCATTATTCTTTTAAACTTTGAAAAGCTATGGCACCAAAACATTGCCATTTATAGACACTTCTTGGCTATGACAGCTGTTGTAAACAGGGATCAGCTGCGTCTCTGTGTTGCTATGGTTTCATGGGTACTACGTCACGGAAATATGTTTATGTGCACCAAAACCTCTGATGTTTTAACACACTACATTGCATATGGAAATTGGCAAGTGCAACTAGGCTTTGATTCTTAGGTTGCACCTGGTGCAAGTAGGTTAACATCCCTTAAATCGAGCCCTGGATCACTTTAACCCCCTCTTTCATGAATGACTATGATTATTAGATTGAACATTTACCTGAATTTTTGGTAACGTGGACAGCTGAAATAATACTAAAATGTAATACTTTTTAGGACTCAGGGGATGAGGATCCAACGAAACCAAAGAACAACATACAGATATCTGTAAAGAACCATCGTGAAACCCTTCATCCGGAACTGGCAGAAATCTGCGGCCAGTCCCATGCCCTGTCCCTTCCTCTGATCACAGCATTATGTAACGACCAGACCCTCATGCACACCAACAGCGGTAGTGGTTCCTGCGGGTCGTACGACACATCGACGCTGAGGTCCACCGATTCGCGCCACTCTAGGATATCCCACGACACCGACTCGCGGCGCTGGTCAACCAGCTACCCCAGCACAGCTTCCACCATGATATCGGTGCCGACAGGCGGTCGTCCATATAGCTGGCATAGTGAACATTTCGACCTAGACACTCAGCTCAGTCTCACCCATGGCCCTGCTTTCCAACACCAACCCCCCTTGGACAATCACCGTAGTGTGCCTCAAGACCTGTGCTCTCCCAGTAACCCTACCTCATCGTGGACTCATGCCATAGCATACACTATGCCGTATGCAGGCTCGCTTGATCGTTACTCTCCAGAGCTGATTGCTCAAAATCACATGATACCCCCTCGGTTGTCTAGCGGGGGCCATAGTAAGACTGATGGCAACTTGAGTCACAAAGCATTAAAGGAAAACATTGGCATTGCGTAGCCATTTTTATTTCAAAACTAAGAAGTGGAGATTTCAATCTCAAGTATTGTGAGCTAGCAGCATTGTCACCAGTTATCTCCCCTTATAACAGAAGTCAGTCATTGTGTTGTTTGCAAGAAGGTCAGAGTTGTCATCGTTGTTTATTCATATTCAGGAGCATTGTAGATATTCATTCCATTTATAGCAATATTTCAGATTTGCAGTATTTTAATTAATATGCATGCATATGAAGTAATCTTGCATATTTCTGTGAACACCGGGGGAATATATATACTTTCCTGTGTCATTTTTTTGTATTGGGCAATTGTCTGTTGTCATAATGTTTGAAGGAATAATTTTATGGCCCAAATTTAAAAGTTATTTTTCTTTTTTCATAATATGCATTGCTCATTTGGGCGCCACATGTGACAAGAGTGGTGGAACTACCATTTGTTGAAGTAGCTGAAGAAGTTACACATACTGTTCAACATTTGCAAGGGCAACACATTTAACTAGAGATGACTTTTTTGGTCCTTAAAAAAATGAGTTATATAAACACTATTTCAAGTCAACAATTTTCTATGCCCTCTTGTCAAAAGTTAAAGAAACATCCCCGTCAACTTGATTGATGTCGTATTCAGTCCTCATTCATTTCTCTCCACATTTACCATTGTAGTTGTTGAGTATGTCATGTTCACAGGCCGTTTGATCAAACACCTCTTACAAGGTTGCAGTGAGACTAGGAAGGTATTGATGTTATGGTTGCAACATGTTAGCATAGTAATACAGGGTATATGCAGTTCATGGATTGTTAAGGAGATTTTCTCTCAGCAGTAATTCTGAAGTGAAAGTGAATGTGTTTTGAGGGCTGGTTGAGGCCTTTCAGTACATGTTGTAAACACACTGACACCTGTGGTCACACTACGCTTTCCCAAACTGATATAGATCCCTTAGAGTAAACAGCAGAAGGCATTAACCTCATGGGCACAGTGCAGAGAAAATCTTTTCAACATGAAATATGCTGAATGTGCAATATATGATTGCAGTTTTGATGCTAATGGCACTTTTTTCTGATTCCCTGTCTCGGTGATAGCCAGTTGCTACTGTTCAGGAAACACAGTTCCAGTATCACTGTTGCCATTGAATTTGTGTATGGTTACATGGTAGGTACCCTTTATGAGAAGGGAGTTGGAATATAGCATATTAGTTTGCTACAGAAATTATATGTCGTCAAAGACAGATGTAAATCTTGTTCAATAAGTTGTCTGCAGAGCAGAAAGATGAGGGTGTTTTAAAGTTTGAACAGTGTATCTCTAAAAGCTGTGTTCATATCTGAGGTTATCGGATGCCTAAATTACCTCCCCTTGTTCCTTTGCCCGCCAGAGGGAAGTGCCAGTCGTATCTTTACATGCAGTCGTTCTGGTGAAGTGACTACAATAGTCGTCGGCAGTGAATTAAAACAGCACATTATTATCAATGAAAGATTACACAGTGTTGGGGAAACTGTTTTTATTCTCTGTATTTGTGAAGGAAGGTATTCAGCTACTGAAGGCTTCATAATCATATGATGTGATATTTTTGTTTTATAGTAAAGAATATTTATTACACAAGTTCTTCCTTGGAAATGAGATTAGGTGGAGTAAATAATTCTATGATATTCTCTATTGAGTGCCTTGTGATTTTGAGTTTGAAAAGTTCTAGAAAAGCAGGACTAGTTTATTGTTATTAAGTAAATTCCTAATATCCCCACAAAGGGACTGATGCATAGTCTGATATAATGCATATGCATTGTGATGAATAATTCATAATAATTCCTGTTGTTAATGTCAGTTTCAAATGAACTTGCCTTCAGAGGTCAGTTAGAACAGAAGAGAAACATTGTGATAGGTTCCTACATTTGAGCCTCTGGGCCATCATTGGTCATTCACTATCTCTACTGACATAAGAATATTGATAGTCTGATGGCAAGTTCTGTTGTTATTTCTTTTCAGGAGTTGACTTTCTTTCAATATCTAAAGCATATTATCAGCACAGAATAATTGTACTAGATGTGTATAGTTTGTTCTGATGTAGTGATTATGCAAGATATTAACCCAGTAGTTTATTTATGTCTGTGTACCATAATAACGTGTGCCGATGTGAACTTGCTAATGTATACCATGATATCCTAACTATGCATGTGCCTGTCGCCCTTACATATCTAATATGTTTTATGTGTAGAACGTTTAGTCTAGTGCAATATGTATATCCTTAAGCTTTGACACCGGAACTTAAAACTAATTGATATTTGCATTTCATGAGATTTTCTCAGGTTGGAGTTTGTATTTATTAATATTATTTGTTGCAGAATAGAAGCTTTAGGCGCTAGATAATGGTAGATATTTAAAAATAACTTATCTGATTAGATTTCTCAAATAGGATATTGGAATGAGGTTTTGCACGGTAAGCTGATAAAATCTTTTCATGTGCAGTATAAAAGCAACAAATATACATGTGGGGTCATATGTAGTTACTGATAGAAAACTCTGATCTTGGGTAATGTAAGTTTGAGGACTAAAAACCTGGGAAGCTTCCTGTGCCCTTGTTATTGGTTAGGGACACTATAAACATATTTTTATGTAACACTGCACATAGATTTCAGTTTTAAAAATAATGATCTTCACCTCTTCTATGCATGTGTTTACTGCTGTGGGTATCATGTTTAGTCATCTATCCTCTATGACAGGGACGTTTGGTTAGCATGGTGGGTAAAACGTTCACTTGTCATGCCAAAGACCTGGGTTCAAATCTCCACAGATGGGTATGATGTGTGAAGACTTTTTTCTCATGTCCCCAGTCATGATTTTGCAGGAATATTGCTATAAGCTGAGTAAAACCGTGCTAGCTCACATGTTTATTAAAGCCTACAGATTTGTGACAGGTTGTCAGTATAGTGTGAGATTTATCTAAATGCCAACATTCAGTGGGTGTTTCAATGTCCATGGAGTCAGTTCCCCATGCTTGAATTCAAGTCTTCCAACAACTTGTTAGCTGCACAATATTTATTTTACAAATATGACAGTTGTAAACCAAGACCAGTAATATATGTGAATGTAAGTATTTTAATAATCAAAGAATTACTAGTACTTTTGTAACTCACATAGATGATGGTGTCTGATGTTGAAATTAACCACATTTGAGCTTGTAGTTACTTGCAGCAGAAATAGCAAGGCCAGTAGCTTGTAGGTGCATCATGAGATGCAATGTACAATAAATCAAAACTTGTGATAATACTTTTATTTACTGAGATTTTGGGATATGCAGGTTTAATTACTAATTCAACTTTACACTTACATTTGTAAATGCTATATATACACATTTCCCTTGATATTCTCCCAGCTGTATGGCCCATCTTATACATTTGTTATGTTCATGTCATGTTTGTATGTTTTTTCATAATATTATTGAATCTAAAGGAATTATATTCCAGAACAACTGTACCTTTACACACAAATACTATCTGTACTCATCTGAGAGGGACAAGAAAGAATTGCTTGCTTCTGGGTAGTGTTTTTTACTCCCAACACATTAATGTATTGCACAGAAATTTGAAACAAGTCCAGCTTTAGATATTTATCCAAAATTGACCATTTTAGCATTGAATTAAATTAAACTTCTCCAAAACAGTAGCTTGTTGATAACAGGATCCAGTCATCTCTTTCAGCCCAGTGTCATGGACTAACTGTAAACTTGACAAATTTTCTGATGAAATGTTTCATATGTGTATTTATATTACCGACATGAACTTTAGACCATGGACAAACTTACTGTTTATATCATGTTTACTTTTTCGACATGTGTAAAACGTAGTTGATATGTATGTATTGGTGCGTACAGACCATCAATACTTCACCAAATTGTATACAAGACCGTGAAGTGCTGTTGATACGGATTTGATCTCTATGGTCAGGCAAAGGACACTGTATGTGTTATAAAGTACATACATGGTCTAAAAAAAATAAAATTGTAAATATGTTTCTTTGTCTAAAATAATACTTCTGTTTGAAATTTTCAGGTACTTCCATTCTCGTTACTGTTGTTGACCGTTTAGGTGTCATTATGTTAATGGTTTCTACATTCAACAGCTGGAACTCGACACTTAAATGCCCTATTTACTTACAAATGTTAGTCTTTAGTCAACATGGAAAGTGCTCATTCATATTCAGTGTTATATTTCTACAGTCCTTGTTACTTTTATATAATGTAGATCTGAAGTCGAGCTGTATCATTTTGTGTCGTCTCTGTGTTCATCAGTGTTGATATGGAAACATGGCATTTCAGTACTTCCACCACTTCTTTTGTCGTCATGATTCTCAGTCATTTTGGATAATCCAAGAACTAGTAAAGAAGTCCTGCTTGTTTGTTCCCACCTTTATTGCCAGAAGAAGCATAGCTGAAGTAGGTACAGCCAAACCCTGTTTATCTGGAAACCCTAAGTATAAGACATTTGCATTTGAGAACATCTTCATATGTACAAATGACATTAGTCCATACCTGTAAGTTGTACATCCAGAAATGTGTTCATCTGGATCATTTCAAAGGTGACAGTATTGCCTGGATTAACAAGGTTTCACTTTACACAATGCAGATGGACTGTAGGGGTCAAACTTACTGTGGATGTTACTACCTGAATGGAAGTGTTGCCACTTTATGACGTTCACTGTTTCTTAAAGGGTGTGTATTTACTTTATATCATATCTTCAAGTATTTTGTGCAAGATTTTCAGATAAGTTGGTTTTCCAGGCATAATCGTTTTTGTTTTTTCCAAGAAAAGTAGTGGAGTGGGCTCCTGACTGACGATTGGATGTAAATCATGTAAGATTGCATTTATTATTTGTGTACTCACCTAGATCACACCTTTGTCAAGCATTGTGGCTTCCACAGGTGGGTTTGAGGCTGAGAGTTACTCCCCTTGGAATGTTTTGATAGTCCTAGTTATGTAACCCGTGAAGGTTGTGATGCAAGATGCAAGTGTCATATTGATACTGATAGTAGCTGACCACAGGACCAGGCTTCAATATGTATAGGATATTCAGGTCCACATTAAGAATCCTCAATGAGAGCAGAGATGCATTTTAGTTCATCCCAAACTGTGGATACTTGCTTTGTTACAGAATATCCTCAGTAAGGGCATGGGTGATATGTATGCGATCCCTTGTTGAGGATACTTATATTCTCAATGAGGACTTGATGGAATATGGATGGCCCCTCATTGAGACTGATTGTAGAGTTGCCCATTCATCTGTCTTAAATTATGATGCCAGATTTTCTGAAAATATCCTTAAACTGAAACATGCTGGTAAAGAAAACGAGTGTGGAAGAATCATGTTGGTATTTTCCGTGAAGTGTGTTGCCTGGCAGTAGCCTCTTCCCTGCAGTTGTATATTTAACATATCAGGCTGCTGTTGCTATATTGTTTCTGTCTACACACTTCATGATTTTTCTGCTTCATACAGGTAGTCATGTAACAGATAAGGTGGACATGGTTACTGTCAAATACATCCATAAAATTCTTTTTCTCATTCATTCTGCCATCTTTAAAATATGAACTCATGCTCTCCCAAACAGACTGTTTTATGTGAAAATATTCTTTATGAAAATCTTAGTTTATATTCGGAACAAATATTATCTCAGCACATGAGGGAACAGCATCTTTCAGCAGAGCAGTTGCTGTTAGCTGTGCAAGAACTTTTACTTGAAATTGTACATTTTCTGAATATTTCTGGAACATTTTTTTATTGCTGTGCCGTTTCAACTGATAGTTGCGCAGATTATATGGGTATGGACCTCCTTATGTGTACACAGCACAATGTTTTAGGTCCAAACCCATGGGCTTGGCCAGTTGCACTGTACCACAAAAAGGTGCTGACATCCATACACTATTTGTTTGACCAACATGCCTTCCAAGGATCTTATAAGAAAATGTCTTCACCTATAATGCCAACGATGTTACCCTTACTATTGTTGATACATCTAGTTCTACTCAGTTGATGCTGACCGCAATGGCCGCCATTTGTATGTACATTATACTCATTCCGCATATCTGGCTCAAAGCGTCAGTAAGTCAGTCAGTGAGTGTAGGTGGAGACAGTGTCAGCTCTGCTGCTGCTGCCGCGGCCCACTGTAAGTGCTACAGGACTAGCCAGCCGGGATGTTTGTGTGTTAGCATTCTGTGTGGCTCTGCAGCCAACATTGGTTACTGAAATAGCCAGATATCAAATATTGTTTATGATATTCCATATTGAAATTGTCCATTTATCATTATATATAGATATATGAATTTGTAATAAAGAGTTATATTTCGTTATAAAACTGCATTTTGTGTTTCTTTGAAGGTGGTTAGCTCTCTGACTCCAAGGTATACAATTTTTCACGTGGTTTAAGTTGAGCAGTGAAATTATACAATCTATAGCTACCAGTCGTTGAAGAGGGCTTGGGTGGTGCAGTCGTCAGTAGCGCCACGGTTTGCACTGTAGAATTGCATTCCTTGTCAAAGCCATGGTATACTGATCGTAGGTCCGAAATCCAAGACTGTCCGTGTCAGCACCATGTTCTTGATTCCAGGTTTGACCAAACAGTTCGACATAGGCAATCCAGCTTAACTTGGTACTTTATATAAAGCGGGTATAAGCGGGTCGCCCAGTCTAATACACCTCTATGTGCAGATATGAGTCCGACTGGCACTCCAGACAAAGCACCATTATGCTTCTAGGTTTCTCAGCACCATACCCATTTGTCAGGGTTTGGAGCTATCCTCCGACGTTAAGCTGACACACCGGGATATAACTGAAATACTGATAAAGGGTTTAAACTCGGACTCCATGATAAGTTTACAAGTTACGATACTTATAATTACCCTATGGCTATTACATTATAGCCATAAATAACGTCTCATTTGTACATTAAATTAATGGGTTTTAGAAAAATTATCAACAGATCTAATAGTTGTGAGGATAACCTTATACTTCGGACAAATGCAACTGCTCATGTGCAAGGCGTAACAAAATCATTTTTCCTTTATGTCCAGATGTAAACAATACGTTATACACATGAGTGAGTGAGTGAGTTATAATTTAACGTCACATCGGCAGTATTTCAGCCATATATATGTACACATGAGCCTTAATTACGTACATCCTGAATCCAGAGACAATGTTTACAATTTTAGTCCAATCAGGTCATACCTTTCATCAGGAATGCACACTTGTAAAGCACGTGACAAGATTTCAGTGCTACGGGTCACAAGTTCACATGCTGCGGCAGGCACATTGGCGTGTAAAATTCATAACTGCGCTGAGTGAACTACAGTTCTCTGAGCAGCCATAAAAGACGACAGTACTAAGAACCGCATCTTGGGGACATGGCATAGGGTTCATTGGTCTGTTGAATACTGATATGTCCTGCACGTCACCGACGGCCGTAGTGGCGAATGGAGACGTCGTAACGAGGCATATCACCAGGGCCCTTATTCTCGAAACGTTCGTAGCCCTAAGAATTCTTAACTTTGATCGTAGCCAATGTGTTAAGAATGGGCTTAAGAAGTTCGTAAGGCTACGAACGTTTCGAGAATTGCTAGCCAGGTGATTATCCATGGAGCTGAAACCTCTGGTGTTGGGCCATAGATGACTGCAAGCTGGATCTCATTACAGTACTCTGTACACTCAGTAGTGAACGTTATCAACAGGAAGTACCACCTTTTGATAATTGCCCCCATCCCAGTCGTCTGATATTCATAGAGAGCAACAGTAGACCTGACCGTTCTCGATGGCCCATTTGCAGAATAGCGCCATCGAAACATTGCCATGGCCGGCAAGACCCAATATGAATTTTTTAGACGCCAAGTTCGAGCTGGAGATCCTTCTGTTCAGTTCAAGACGCATGCACTTCATGACAAACGGCAGAGGATTCCGATGTTGAGGATTCCACTGTCGACTGCCAGTACGAGGAGGAGACTGGCAGATGTTTTTCAGGTTGGCTACATTAGGCACTGATGAAGTCGCCAGTGGTGGTTCATACAACCTCAGACTGCCTCCGTGGTGTAGTGGTTAGAGAGTCCGCCCGGAGAGCGGAAGGTCGCGGGTTCGATCCCCGACCGCGTCAAACCAAAAGACGTTAAAATATGGTACTTGTTGGTCCCCGCCTGGCGCTCGGCATTAATGGGTACAACAAGGACTGGTCGGCTCGGAGTCAGTATAATGTGTCTGAGTGGGGTATTCCTGCTTCACTGCGGCATGGTATCTCAGTGGGCTAGCACTATTAAACCAGCTTCAGTCTGGGCTAGTACAAGCAGCCGCACATACACACACACACGCATGAACGCCGTCATATGAGCGAAATATTCTCAAGTACGACGTTAAACCCAATTTCACCTCACCTCACCTCATACAACCTCAACAATCATATTTTGAGAACTGTGTTACAATCAGATTGGTGACGTATTCATGGTGACCATACTTTCCAGTATTGTTGATATTCAGATATTGTGTATTCTTCGCATATTGCATGTACGTTGTTACCACATTTCAGTTTCAATTTTGTTTTTGTTTTACTCAAATTAAAATATGTTACACTAACCATTCCTGATGCAGTTATTGTAATAAAATATCATTGGATAAGTATGATAAGCCTTCCATGGCGTGGATTAACATTTCTAACTCTTATTGAAATTGAGGGTCGTCAGCCAATAAGTCCAAAATACCTGCCTAATGTTGAAAGCATGTTACATCAACACAAGTCTTCATCAGTGGATTGATGAATGCCATGCAACCCCAGCCTTCAAGGAGACATCTTTATAGCCACTAGTCCTCCAGAACAAGCAACCCGTTACACAACGAGATGAACGGGGTATATAGGCCTCGCCAGACTGATCAAAAGTAAAACATCTCTCCAAATTATTTCGACGTTGACTGGCTCATGGATAAATTTTATCACTAACGATATTCAACACCTACAATGATCCAGTCGAAAAAATTGCGACGCAAACTGGACGACGCCTGGCTGCTCGAGTTTCAAGGCCAAGCATGGTGAAAATCTATAGGATGCAGATTCCATCACGCAAAGGTCAAGCCTTCTTGACAAGGGAGTCATCCGCACATGGAGGCCGCAGATACCAGTCTTACTGTTTCCCAAAAGAAAAACATTGCAAATTTGCATCATAATCAACCTGAACAACAAGGATCTTCACGTCCCCTGTCATCCAAGTACCTATCACTGTCCATAGTTACTTGGATGAGGTATCTGTAAATGACTCCCATCAAAAGATGGCACAGGTTCGCCGGATGCCAAAAGGAAGAGGTTCACTGGATGTGGATCTATTGATACCTATAATTACTGGTTTCCTGTTCCATATGAGGAAAGTAAAGCATTGAAGACTCGGCACCACTGAACGCAACAGAAGAGTACCATTGAAGGCATCTAAATAGACCAACGAAGTCGTTTGCACTGGAAGATCTCATATGGCCACGCACATTCATAAGTTCATCAAATTTATTAATCGTATTGTCAGCACGGATGGAACCACGATACGAACCCATACTCAATGTTACACTACCAAGAGCTTCCAGAAACGTTTTCCTCCTATATTTGTTGTATTGGACAGGATATCACGCACAGGACTGAAGCGCACTCTTTTTCAGGCCATTGTGTATTCTGCGTCCTATCACAGCTACATCACAGCAACATCACAGCTACACCACAGCGACATCACAGCAACATCACAGCAACATCACAGCAACATCACAGCTACATCACAGCTACATCACAGCAACATCACAGCAACATCACAGCTACATCACAGCATCACAGCAACATCACAGCGACATCACAGCTACATCACAGCAACATCACATCACAGCTACATCACAGCTACATCACAGCTACATCACAGCAGCATCACAGCAACAGCTACAACACAGCTACATCACAGCTACATCACAGCTACAACACAGCTACATCACAGAACATCACAGCTACAACACAGCTACATCACAGCGACATCACAGCTGCCAGGATGGCTCAAAACCACCGTTGCAGGGAGCTGTCACCAAAAGCAAATATCTACATTCATCACCTGCAAATACTTGAATCAAACATCGAGTGAGTGACTGAGCGAGTATGATTTTACGCCGCTTTTAGCAGTATTCCGGCAATATCACGGCGTGGGGCACCAGAAATGCTCCTCCCAGGTTTGTACCCATGTGGGGAACCGAACCCGGGTATTCAGTAACGAGCGAACGCTTTAACCACTAGGCTACCCCACCGTCCCATCAACCATCGCAGGGGTATGAGGTGACATGAAGAGTCTATATGACCTGTAGACCTCTATATTTAACCCTTCAATCAACTACCACAACATGAGGAATTTAAACCCACTATAGTACTGTCGGAAATAGAAAAAAACTGTTTTTAGGCTGTTACTCTGTATCCTTACAATTTACACAACTGCAAATAGCATATGTCGAAATGACCCACTTCGGCCTAACTTGGCATTCAGTGGGATGCATAATAGGATATCCAGAAAAGCATGTTTACTGGTAAAATCGGGCAAAACTTAGAAAAAATACGAATAGCTGCTGAAAACAATAGATCAGACTATAGATGGCAATTAGGTCGCTCAGCCAAGTATGACGACGGACTGTCGACTCAACTGGCATGAAATGCATGTGCTGCCTTCAGGCACAAGGGGTCATCTCAAAGATATTTTGTGCTCTTTCATGTGTGTTGACTATGTCTCATCTTATGATTAACATCTTACATGTCTTTCTTTTATAAAGTTTATGTTGAGATATGTAGAAGAGTATGATACCCGATAACCAAAGAAACGCATCGTCTTAAATGTCTCAAAATATACAGGTGGCATGACCACCCGAAGATCGACAGGACTGGATATTACTTGTAAATTGTTATGACATGCCGTGTACCTCCCCAGTATAATTCCCCTAAAGGATTATCTAATCTTAGCTGATATCTCTATCCCCACCCCGACCACAACCATCGTCTGCGACACCCGTCCAGGTTTTGCTTTTGAGACGGCCCCTCCTACCTGTTTCTTTTTATAGTGACAGTGACTCCATGGTAGCTACATCCTTAATAGTTTCAGCATGAAAGTTATTAATTTTTACGTCAGTTATCGTATATAATGAAGCTACGTCTAATTTCAAATTGGGCATTTAAAAAGTGTCCTTTGTAATACAATATCATCGAACACTAATTTGCATAAAGCCATGGTCTGTTCCAAATAAGTCGCTTTGGGCTTAGAAAAAAACCTCATTGCTCTTTTCTGCACTAATCTCTCCTCAGTAAAGTCCTTTCTT